ACCTAATTTTCTTTGATATTGATGGTGTGTACTCTACTTATTAATTTTCTTTTATTATGATGTGTGTACTTGATTCATTTAATTTTCTTTTATTCTTCATCTAATTGTCGTTTATACTACTGATGTGTACGTACATCCAAGCCCTGGTGCTTGCAGTTGAATGCAAGTTTAGCGAAGCTTATGCTTGCTGCTTTGAGGAAACTATTTTTCAACTATGGTCTTTGTAGACTCTTTGACCATGTGTTTTGTCACTATACACACACACAAGCGAAGGTTATAGGCAGTTGTTTCGTCGTAATTGCAACTCTATCTACGTCAAGTCGGGAATCGTCTACTTAACTATAATCTCCCAGCTGACCTTACATATTCGATCCAATTCCAAACATTCGTTGTGCTTACAGCGCTGGTTGCGATCGGTTCCGTGCAGCTCCAGCACTCTAACTCTACTCTACCCTATTACCTGCATGCGTACTCTACCCTATTGCACGCCATACACACACCCATGTGTGGGCTGTGAGCTGCCTGTCCATGCTTGCTGTATGTTGTACTAATTACTTTTACCTGACCACTATGCACCCTCATACGACACAGAGTGTGGCCTGCTGTTCCATGACGACTGCTACTACGTCTCGCAGGGATGGGACAGCACCAGCAAACAGGTGCTCACACGCACTCTCGCCAATTCACTCTCCAAAGCCAACGCACAAGAGTTTGATTCACACGCGCAAAGTAAGGGGTTACATGCAACAGCACCACTACACCGAGACAGTGCGAATACATTGCAGACGGAGAGAGCATCGCCACAGGAGGAGCAGTTCCCACCAACCCAGCCACAGCACACTCAGGATCAAGCACAAGACCAGCCACAGGCACACCAGCGAGCTAAGCAGCACCACAAGCCACAGACACAGACACAGACAAAGACACAGACACCAAACAAAGTACAGGGGCACCACAGACAGGACACGCAGGAGGGGTTGGCACAGAGTCTGAACAACCAGAGCGTGCGATTCAACACGGCAACGGACAAGCAAGTGCCGTCAGTCGGGGCGGCGAAGAAGCCCAAGCAAAACGGCGGTGCCTGTAGTCCCGCGACTGACAGGAGTTTTATAGTAACGAGTACAAGTACACACACCACTGATCATGAGGGGTTTGACACTACCACGCTATCGACTAGAAGCCTGCTAAATTTAAGCTCTAATGAGCACCCACCACCCTCCCCAACCACGCTAGCTAGCACCGCTAAGTCCACCCTACAGCCACTGTCCCGTCTGCTGACCAAACCAGCCTTGGTCGCCACGCGCGCGCGCAAACGCGCAGCGTCCAGGGGCGAGAAAGACGGCACGAACATAATCCGCCCACTCACGCTCACACAGCAAGCCACTCCCCTGCAGTCCCAGTCACTGGTCAGTCTACCGGGGATGGGACAAATGGGTAAAGCCGATACACTCAGGCCCAAGTCAAGCCAGGACGCGTTGCTGTTGGCGGAGTTGGTGAGCCAGGCACAGACCCAACGGCAGAAGCTTACGCTGACACCACTGCCGCAACGCCCGCTGTTTCACACGCGGTGTCGACGCAAGGAGGCGAGTGCGTTAGAGCGAGAGGGCCGAATCACCAGGAGCAGTTTACTATTTATCAGAGATCGCTGGGCTGCGGAGCTGAAATATCGGAGCGGGTTCCGGCAATTGCAACGGTGTGTGGGAGCGTTGGCAAAGATATGTGGCCAAGGTGTTTTATACAAATGGCCGGATGTATATATGTATGTGCTTGTTCCTGTCATATTTAGTACACATATTGTGGGGAGAGGACTCTGTTACTGTTAATAGTCTGATATGTATCCTAGATTGCTGGGCTGCGGTACTGTAGTGTGGGTTGCGACATTTATAACAACAGGAGTGGGTAGTGGTACTGATATATGTCAGATTTGAACATCGATTGATACTATATATGTTTGTGCTGAGTGTTGATTCCCCTGGCTACCACATACTGAACTAAACACCGAACACCCTGCCCACTCGTAGGATCTTGCTGGCACTGCTAGTTGCCCTGTTTAAATAATATAAACATTACAATGCAGACTACGAATGCACGCATACTGCCATACAACCCAGCCACAGCATTGCATTCCCCTGACTATCACACTCTGAACTAAACACGAAACACTGCGCACTCGCAGGGTCTTGCTGGCACTGCTGGCCATCTTGGACAAACACATCGACCTCAACCGAGACTGTGACTACCATCCACTATGGCTAACACATCTCATGACGAGTGCACTGCTGAGTGACTCGGGCAATGAGCACCATCCACCATTCACACTGGAGTCAGCGTCCTGCGACGAGGCGTGGGATATACTCACGGAGGGTAAGTCGGGGACACTGTGTGTGGCGCATGTAGGTGGTGTGTGTATTCAGTCGCTGTATACTACATCTATCTATGGGTATAGTGGTATAGGTGTAGAAGTATAACTGGGTCAAAGTTGATTTTCCTTTTTGAGGTACCCCCTTCCCCAGTGCAATGGAGTTGAGCACCTACGGTGTATTCCTGGAAGCCTATGGTCCAAGTCCTACGGTACAACTTTTTAGAAAAACTTTCGTAAGTCGGAGAGTCCCTCCCACCCCCGAGGAGAGTGACCCAGTTTTATAACCCCTTGATATGTAATGTATATGCATGTATACAATCCGATATGTATGTACGTAATCTATAGTGATCTCAGTACATTATATATATATATATATATATATATGTGTGTGTGTGTGTGTGTGTGTGTGTGTGTGTGTGTGTGTGTGTGTGTATATATATATATATATATATATATATATATA